GAAAACTATTAAAAATGATGATAAAAATTATGTGGCTAGTTTAACAGCAACAATAATCAGCTTTACAGTATAAGTGGTGACTAGTTAAAAATATTATAATACGAGGAGTCCGTATCTAAAAGCCACAAAAATATTTTTGGAAACTTAAAAAAAGAACATAAAAGAAAATTTTGGAACCCTTACCAGCCTGGCCAACATGATGAAATACCGTCTCTACTAAAAATACAAAAATTAACCAAGTGTGGTGGCAGGGGCCTGTAATCCCAGCTACTTGGGAGGCTGAGGAAGGAGAAACTTGAACCTGGGAGGCAGAGGCTGCAATGAGCTGAGATTACGCCACCACATTCCAGCCTGGGCGACAGAGTAAAACTCTGTCTCAAAAAAAAAACTCTTAATGGGGAACATGTAAAACAACAATTCTACTAAGTTCTCAATGGAAAGATCCCCTAAGTAAAAAACATTTAATATGTTTCTAATTAAAATCCTAACAGAATACTTGAGAAAATAATCTAAATGATTCTGAAAGTCACATGGAAAAATAGACAGGAATAGAAAACTCTGAAAAGGGGACAATTAAAGTTCTGCCTGATAAATTTTATGTGGTACACATTGTTCGAGGAATTGAAAATAAAGTGATTTTTAAAACACACACTGTCAAATGCCTAGTTTATAATGATACAAGTGTAGGACTTGTAAACAGAAGAGAAAGATTAAAAAAAAAAAGTAAAAAAGTTGGATCCATATCTGAAAACAAACATCTATAAAATAAATTATAGAATGATTTAGAATTAAATGTATACTAAAATATGTGTAAATATTTAAATAACCTTGGAGTAGGAAAATTTCTCTAAAGAGAAATAAGGAAAAGATTAACAGCCTTAACTACATAAAATATTTTTATATTAACTACAAATATATTTGTTATGGGACAATTTTAATATATACATACAATATATTGTATATATGCATATATGTATGTATACTGTATATATTGTATATATAATATATAGCATATACAATAGACATACATAATACACATTTACAATATATACAATATATACATATACACGTATATTATGCATACATATAGTATATATTATGCATACAAAAGTATGTATATGTATATACATAATATTATTAGGATCTGCTGTTAAAGGTTTTTTTCAAACATCTGAATAGTTAATAAAAGACCTGCCTAACATATGAAGTGTTGGACTTCACTAGTAATCCAAGAAATATGAATTAAAACAAGATGAGTTACCACCTGTCTAACAAAGATCTCTAACTTTTAAGTACCCAACATGGCTAAATGAAAAAGTTAAGGAACAGGAATGTGAAATTGGTAAACTTTTCCCTAGAGAGATTTGGATCTAGCAAACATTTTAAAAGTGCATTCCTTATACCAGCAACTCCAAGGAAATTAATTTATGTTTGTGTGTATGTATGTATTTTTGTGGATTTTCATCACATTATTTGTAACAGAAAATCCAAAATATTGTGTCCAGCAATGAGAAATTGTGAAAGTATGGTTCCTCTATAAAGCAATAATTTACAACCATCAAAAAGAGGGCGGGCTGGGCACAGTGGCTCATGTCTTTAATCCCAGCATTTTGGGAAGCCAAGGTAGGAGGACTGCTTGAGGTCAGGAGTTCAAGATCAGCCTGGGCAACACAGGGAGACTCCATCTCTACCAAAAATTTAAAAAATTAGCCAGGCATGGTGGTGCTCATTTGTAGTCCCAGCTACCTGGAAGGCTGAGGCAGGAGGATCACTCAAGCCTAGGAGTTTGAGGCTGCAGTGAGCCATGATCTTGACATTGCATTCCAGACTGGGGGGACAGAGTGAGACCTTGTCTCTAAAAAATAAAAAAAACAAGAGGGTAGAATTTAATTGACTGATACCAAGAGATGTTCACAACATATTATTAAATGAAAAAAATCAAATTACAAAGCTATGGGCAGTATGATCCCATTGTTTTAAGAAAAATCAAACAAGATATGCATTTAAATACATCCATCAAAGGCAAAATATTAGGTGGTTATCTGGGGTTGTTCTTCTCTGTGTTCCTATTTCCGCATATGTACTAATTATAAAAAGAAAAAAGGATTCCACATCTTAACCTTTGTCGAAAAAACACGGCACAGTGGATTACAAGTGGTCATCTTTATCAGATAAAAACTTCAAAAAGTCTGTTCTGGATAGAAGCAAAAAGCATACAAGGCTGAAAAATGGCCTGGGAGTGTTATGGCAATTTATTTACAGACTATTGAACACAGCCTGAAAAAAAATGGTAAAAAACAAATGGTTTATATTAATACATTAGATGTTAACAGTTACAAGACTTAACTTTCAATTGTTCTTGCAAAAGGGTACAATACTTTTACAACAAATTAACTGGGAAAAAACTTAAAAGAGTGATTCTGTATTCACCATAGAGCCTCATTTGAATACAATTAGAAAATTCATTTTTAATTGGACATTTGATAGGCTGAAATGAGTTAAGACCCACAGACTCTGTCAGTCCATAAAATTAAAAGAATAAATTCTTCCCATTACGATAAAAATTTTCCATTTTCACTGTCTTCAACTGGATCCCATGACAGCTTATTATTAATAGCTTTTATTTTTAAGTAGAAACATTTAAGAAATTATCTGGAGAAGCTTTTGGTAAATGGCAAACTATTGCTCCCCTTAAAACACCACTTGAAATTACAAAACCCTGAAAGTATTTTTGTTGATTTTTTAAGAAAAAGTTCCAAATCAATGTTTTATTGCATAAAACCTTGAAAGAACTTAAAAGCGAATTATGTTTGCAAGACTACTGATAACCAATCTTCTTTGAACAAATGAAAAATATATACAGGATTTGCCTTTTCAAAGATTATCCATATATGAAACAAACAGCCCCTTCAGGCTCCTAGATTTTGAAAATGTCTTTTTCTATTTTTTTCTAAATAAAAATTGTTTTTTAAGCAGACTTTTTAAAGCCACTTGTGTTAAGCCATTAGTCCAACAGTCTAAATTTAATTATTTTACTGTATCACTGGTCAAGTTATTTTGAAGCAATTTCCCTATTAAAAAGTTAAGTATTTACTGCAGAATTTGGGTATGGCTTAGAGGAACAAGCACAGGCAATCCAGTTGCCAAAGTTTCTGGCAATCCCTTTCTCTAAGCCTTATTTTTCTTAGCTGTAAAGTAAGAAGACTGACCGGATAATTTTAGATTATTGGGACATCTCGTTCAGACTTTTAAAATATCAAAAGGCAGACTGGGCCAAAAAACAAAATCGAAAGGATATTATATCCCAGCTGATCTATGGTCAAAACATGTATTTCAGCTTTTTTTTTTTTTTTTTTTCGCTGTCTCCTACAGGAAGGATTCAGCTTTTTGGAAAAGAAAGCAAGTCCCCTCCCCCTAAAAAAAGAAAAAATAAAAATAAAAAAGGAAAACAAAAAGCCCTAGGATGAAAAATCATCCCAAATTGGATTAAGCTCAAAGCAAACAGCAAAACCTTAACTCAGAAGTACCAAATTAGATTGTAAACATTTACGTATTCACTTTTCATTTTTCTCAAGAAGCCTTGATATTTCTTAGAAATAGGCCATTGCAAACTGACCAGATTCAACTTAAAATTTTATCACTGAATTTCCAGTTGTTTGATTTCTCTCCATAACCATCTGCATCCAAATTTCAATTTAAAATTTCAAAAAGATACTCAAATTTTCATGCCCTACATTCACTTAAGTACAATTTAGATACAGCTGAGGGTAGCAATACCACTAGCTTCTCCAGACATTTAAAAAATCTTGCTCACTGGCCGGGCACGGTGGCTCACGCCTATAATCCCAGCACTTTGGGAGGCCGAAGCGGGCGGATCACGAGGTCAGGAAATCAAGACTATCCTCGCTAACATGAAGAAACCCTGTCTCTACTAAAAATACAAAAAATTAGCCGGGCGTGGTGGCAGGCGCCTGTAGTCCCAGCTACTCGGGAGGCTGAGGCAGGAGAATGGCGTGAACCCGGGAGGTGGAGCTTGCAGTGAGCCGAGATCACGCCACTGCACTCCAGCCTGGGCGACAGAGCAAGACTCCGTCTCAAAAAAATAAATAAATAAAAAATCTTGTTCACTGTCAGCACACTGGAAGTATGATTTAACACTGTTGATGATTATTGATGTTACCCCAAGGACTAGATTAGTACCTGGCATGTTGTAGGCACTGACTATGTATTTGCTGACTTAATAAAGCTCTGAATCACAGCTAGAATTATTACCTTATTTCACATTCCACAAATGACAACTCCTTAAAATTAGCATTTGAAGGTTTCACAAGTGACTTGCACCTCTCTAACAAATAATGAAGACGTGGGAAACATACTGAGTTGCATGCAGAAAAATCTGCTGTGTCAGTAAACACAAAAGGGAATTTCACATGGAAGAAGATAAATACTTTCTTCTTTTGGTAGGTCAAATCTTTTATATTTTTGTCTTCTTAACTTGAAATCTGACTTACCTGCTTTTTTCCAAAAAATTTAAGCAATATTTTGTGTTCCTTAGATTTCATTCAAATTTTCAGCGATGACTGCTGTTATTGTAACTATAACCTACAGAATTAGTGATTTCCCAACTTTTTTCTATTAATCCAAATTCACTGAATTAAAATATTAAATGCTATGAAGGGAAGCATTAAAATTTTTTACTATCATATTTCATCAATTATAAGACAAATATTCTATATAATAACATGTCTGAATCTGGGATGCAGCTTATAATTGATGACATCCTAGCATTGTTTTGTGGCTTAATTGGCAAACATTTTTTCTTCTTCTAAGTGATATATAAAAGACTGGTATGTCTCACAAGCAATGCTGTCTTAGGATAGTATTAGAAGTTCTAGTTCAAATTTTCAATTTCAAAGCAACAATTTCCCTGTCCTCCCAGCCACTCTCCCAACATAAATATATAACTGAAATGTTTGATTAGAAAAACTATCCAAACACAGTTCAATTTTATATAAAATATTTAATTTTTAAAACACAGGCTATTCATGTCACATAAATATCTTCAATTGTAGGTTAGCTGCTTATGGTCAGCAGAATTATCAAGTGTGACTATTAAGAATAACTTAGATACTGTCACTTATAGGAAAATCTAAAGCTCTAAGACTCACCATATTAAAATTTCAGATACTTGAATACTGTTGCTATTTTGCTAATTTCAAAATATTTCTTCATTTCCTGCAATGTAGTTTATAAGTTGTTAGTAATCAATATTCAAATAAAAGCAAAATATTTTTTCTTCCATTCATTTCTTTCTCCCAACAATAAAGAGTCCATCAAAAAATAAAATGGTCAACTGATATCAACTGTTTTATAGTAGTAAAATGGTAAATTATCCTCTTTAAAATAATTTTACTGTTATCAAACTACAGGGCTTCCCACATACTGTTTTGAAATGAAGGTTCGTAAGTTAGAGGGCACAGGGTTAACTGGCTTTAGAACTGGAGCAATATACATTCTGTAACAGTTGTTCCAATTTAAGATTCCAATAAAAAAAAAAATAAGTTACCAGAACAGTTAATGAACAAAATGATTAATTGGCACAACTCTAACTTCCAGTCAATTTTTCCATTTAGTGATAATGGAAACACTGGTTATTTACCTTTGGTTCCTTTCTAGAATAATAATTGTGTGTATATGTGTGAGAGTGTGCACACAGTGAGACTTGACACCATTACAGTTTAAATAAGGACTACTCCATTCTTTGATGCTCTTCATAAAAACAAAAAAAAAATGTTGAAATGAACTAAAGTTGTTCCTCTAAGTCTGGCAGAAGTCATAATCAACTATATAGAAGGTGACAGGAAGGAAGATAAAAGTTCTCTCTCATTGCTTTTTCTTTTTGCTTCAATAAACTCAATCTAGGCAATGTTTCTAGTTAACAAGTGAATAGAACTGACTTTCTTAAAATGGCAATTGCATAACTTAAAATATGGTATTTGCCACCCCTCCCCCACGAACTTTAACACATTTATGCAAGTTCTGTTATTAACTCTTGCTTCTATACTATGACCCTCCAATTATCCATGGCAAATGGAAACAGGGATAATATGGCAGCCTGAAAGAAAATGATACTCTAAAATTCTCCTGGAGCTATTACTTTCAACCATTTAAATGACAAAACTTTTTAGAACTTATCAAACAAAAGGTACTGATTGCAGTTCTGCTCCCTTTCTTTGCTCTCACTCCCCTATCAAGAGAAGGTAGTAGTGAAAGGTAACACAGCCCAAAGACAGGCAGAAAAGGAGAAGGTGTGACAGGCAGAGGGAATGGACCTAACCGGAATTGAACAGGCAGCCCCTGAAAACTTGAGAGCTTCCTGCCTTTTTAATGCATTGATTCCCTTTAAAAGATAAATGGGGGTAAAAGTTAACTATTTTTTTTCAGACCTTAAGCTTACCTGTTAAGGCACTTACTTTCCCTCCCCACCCCACCCATAATTTTCATATAAAACCCACTATTTCATTTAAATGCATTTTGCTAGGCTATGATAATCTGCAAAACAAAACAAAAATAACGTTGACCATTTTTTTCTTATAAAACTGTTGCATCAAGAGAAAGGTTGTGTTTTATTTTCTGAAATGAGCACAAAGTACACCTTTCACAATAACACTGAAAGCAGGTGCAAAGACTGACAGTGACCTTTGACTAAAGGTAGCTTTGTAAAAAGAAAAATACCAAATAAATCAGTGCCCTTTCTGATTGTTGTAAAACTGGAGGTGGGGAGGGGCTGTTTGTTACATAAAAGTTGGTCCAAACTTACAAAAAAAGCACAAATGTGCATAGTTCAGAAGATCTGCAAGAGGGCCATAAAAGGCTTATGTCCCTAAAATTAGCATCCACTTAAAACTGCAAGAATACAAAATAAAATTGTTAACTAGAATTTGTGAAGATGTACAATTGATAGATCTAGTTTTTAGAACAGCATGAATTTAAGCAAAGGTGTTTTTTTTTTGTCTTTTTAAACTATTGTATGCAAGACCCTTCTCCACATAAAAATAAAGCTGTTGTTGAATTATTATTATTCAAGTCTCTTGGATTGCTGCCTTAAATTGCAGCTAGAAAAGTCTTTCCAGATAAAAATGATGTGCCTGAGGAAAAACAGATACTCAGTATGGTAACCCTCTGCCTCTGCCTCTGCCAGTTGATGTGCTAATATGTCCCCTGTATCCTTGTGAATATCCAGGTCCTTGGGCAGGAGAAGTCCAGGTCTGTCCATGCATGAGGCTGGGGCCACTTGGGTTTTCCTGTAAGTTACCACCATAGTTATAGTTGTGCATCTTTGCTGGCAAAGGATGAGTACTCTCTGGCCCCGTGGAAGGGTCACTGCTGTTTGCCAGGACTGCAATAGGACCATGGCTATATTCAAATCTATGGTCCTTGTCTCCACTAAACAACATGGGACCAGTATTGAGGTAAATGTCTCCAAAACCAGCTACTGAACTGGGAAACGACTCAGAAAAGGCAGAAGGCTGAGGTGGACCACTAGAATGAGATGAAGCAGTACTGTAGTTATCCAAAGACTGAATATCTGAATTTCCAATGAAACTACGTCGTTCTAGTGGTGGAGCAGAACTGCTTCCTAGACCATCATTGCTAACATAAGGAGCAGAAGAGAAAGAAGACGATCCAAAGTTGTCCTTGTAGTCTGAAGTGGACACGTAAGTGTCTCCTGCTTGATAATCAATCCCACCTTCTCTTTTGGGGTCATCCTGGGGCTGATGCTGAGCAAGCAGCTGTAACAGGGCTGCCTTCACTCCGGCATGAGGGTCAGTTAATGAAGAACTGGTGGTGGGTACATGCTGGTTTTCTGTCCGATAATCTAGATCTTCCTCAGTGACTGGTGGTGGTTCAGGAGGCTCAGGAGGTCGTTGGTCAGGAGGCAGAATTCGAGGCCGGTCTGGTTCCGGTGTTAGCTCCAAGATCCTCATATCTTGATGCTGGATGAGGTCATCTTGTCCTAAGTGAAACAGAGCAAAAACAAGGTCAAAAGTTACCATGGAAAACTAAATATTCAAAATACTCAGTGTTTCCTGTAGGTAGTCCTAAAGATGATTAGAAGTTCCATCTCTGGCAAAATGTTAAATGAAAAAAGCAAAAAGTTTACCAGTACTATGGTAACTGGTAAATTTTACTGTATGTGACTTCTCTTTAAAAAAAAATTTTTTTTGTGACATGGTCTCACTGTCACCCAGACTGGAGTGCAGTGGAGTGATCACAGCTCACTGCAGCCTTGACCTCCTGGGCTCAAGTGATCCACTCACCTCAGCCTTTCAAGTAGCTGGAACCACAGGCATGTGCCACCATGTCCAGTTAATTAAAAAAGTGTTTTTAGAGACAGGGTCTCACTATGTTGCCCAGATAGGTATTGAATTCCTGGGTTCAGGCAATCTTCCCACTTCAGCTTCTCAAAGTGCTGGGATTACAGGTGTGAGCCACTGCACCCAGCTATAATTGGCTGGGTGCATAATTCACTTATACTTCATTGCTTAAGGAACAAAAGCTACTGTATACATAAATTATGCCTTAGTCAAGTATCCTTTTGTATTTGGAGTTAAATATTATTTCTTAACCATAGGTTTACCTTAGAAATTTCTTTACCATTCATAATGAGTTCTATCTCACATAGATAATTTGTTAAAGAATCCATTCCTGGAAGTAAACAGACTAAAAAACGAACCTATTGCCAGTAACCTGAGATTTTTCAGGACAGCTTTTAGCAATGTCACTGAACTATACACATTATAAATAGTCAGCAACACTGAGTAGACAATTTAATGCAGCCGTGTTAGTGGTCTGGTATTTGCACACTTACCTGACACCGGAGTGCTAGGTTCTGGAGGTGGCCTGAGTTGTAATGATGCTTCATGTCCCGATCCATTTTCCCTCTCTTCTAGTAGCACATCTTTCTGCTTTGACTGCTGAGCCTTTATTAACTGAGTCAACAGAACTGCAAATGCACTCTGCACAGCCGCCTGGGCAGCATCAGTCTCCACTTTAGGCTGGATGGTCTGAGAAGGCTGAATTCCTCCCAACGGTTTCGAAGACTCCTGTTGTGGTGTTGATGGATCTGTCTGTTTTTCACCTGTTGCCAAAATTCCAGCAGGAAGGTTTATTTTATTTAGCTGCTGTTGAGTCTCAGAGTTTACCTTAATGTTCAACACTTGGACAAAATCAGCCATATTAACACTTGTTTTAGATTGTAGTAGGTTTAGAAGAATTGCCAATTCACTGTGGTTTAAGTGCTGTCCAGGGCCTGTTTTTACTAAAGACAAAATTATATTAATTAGAACTGCCATAATTCACAGCTCCTCCCACCCCCACACCAAAATGGCTCTGTATTACCATATGAAAATGTATATTTGAGGGAGAGTATTTAAGAAATATTGTAAAAAGAGAACCTCAAGTCTAGTTAAATATCATGTACATTTAAAATGTACCTGTACATAAAAAGAACTGCAGTCAATGTTGAATAACTTATCTTTAGGGGTAAATACTTCAAAAGAAAAATCAAGACCCACTACTAAAAACTCATATTATGGATTTAACCAGGAAACAGCACATTGTGAATGGGAAATGAATAATGATAATGATAACAGCTAAGGGAGTGTCACGTACCTTCAAAACATTTAATATCCTTTATTCCTTACAAAAACCTTATAAGGCAGACTATTATTAACCTCCTTTTACTGAGAAGAAACTGACACCGAAAGAGACCGGGCAACTTGCCCAAGGTCAAATATTCTGTAAGTGGCAGAGGTGAGATCTGAATCCAGATATTCTGATTCCAGAATCTGAGCTCCTAACTACACCATACTTTCTCTAAAATAAAGTTTATTATGCAAAATCTAAGGTTATCTTTGCACTATATTGAAACTATGATGTTTTGCAGATTCTGATAAAATGCCTGTGTTTCTATTCAAATTACCTTTTTTTTTGTAAGCAACTTTGGATAAGTTAGGAATGCCTACAGAAACATGTTTATTATTAATATATGCATATGATAGTATTAACTCATCACCAGTAATAGCGATTCAGTTGTTTTTCCAACTTTCAGTTTAGACTTGGGATAATTTACACAGGTCCTCCCTCAAGCAAGCTTATCTTAATCATACATAATGACAACACTCAAATGCATATAATACCATATATGGTAACTATAAGACTGCAATGGTAAGAAATTCCCATAATCACAGCTGACAGATTGATAGAAGAGCAACTCTAAGATGATGAAAAACTGATGTTTAATGCTTTTATATTCTCTTTATATATTTTGAGATACTTCTGCAAGTTATTCTTATGACCCATGAGCATGCTTGTATGCTACATATCAAAAGTCATTTTTCCTTATTTTCATTTCCCTATTAGCACAGGTAGTCTCTCCATGTGAATTCAGGGATGTGGTCTTTAATTGAGGTGCCTCTTTTGCTGAAGGGGCGTTTCTTATTTCAGCACACTTACTGATGACGGAGAAGAAAATGACTCAGAGGATTCATCTTTTTTTCAAAAAAACAGAATTCTCACTGGTTTTTTTTTGAGACGGAGTCTTGCTCTGTTGCCCAGATTGGAGTGTAGTGGCGTGATATGTAACCTCTGCTTCCCAGGTTCAAGCAATTCTCCTGCCTCAGCCCCTGCTAGTAGCTGGGATTACAGGCGTGTGCCACCATGCCTGGCTAATTGTTTTATTTTTAGTATAGACAGGGTTTCACCATGTTAGCCAGACTGGTCTTGAACTCCTGACCTCAGGTGATCCACCCACCTCGGCCTCCCAAAGTGCTGGGATTGCAGGCGTAAGCCACCATGCCCAGCCTGGAATTCTCACTTCTTAATCAGAATACTGATTTTTTTTCTTTTCTCTTTTGATTTTTTTAGACAGGGTCTCACTTTATCATCCAGGCCAGAGTGCCAGTGGTGCAATCTCAGCTCACTGCAGCCTCGACCTCCTAGGCTCAAGCAATCTTCCTGCTTCAGTCCCCTAAGTAACTGGGAATATAGGCCCGGCTAATTTTTGTATTTTTTGTAGAGACGGGGTTTTGCCACGTTACCTAGGCTGGTCTCGAAATCCTGAACATAAGCTACCAGCCCGCCCCAGCCTCCCGAAGTGCTGGGATTACAGGCATGAGCCACCGCACCCAGCTATTTATAGATAACTTGAAGTCAGGATTTCAGACCAGCCTGGCCAACGTGGCAAAACCTCATCTCTACTAAAAATACAAAAATTAGCCGAGTGTGATGGCACACGCCTGTAATCCCAGCTACTCTGGAGGCTGAGGCAGGAGAATCACTTGAACCTGGGAGGCGGAGATTGCAGGGAGCTGAGATTGTGTCACTGTACTCCAGCCTGGGCAACAGAGACTCTGTCTCAAAAAAAAAAAAAATTAAAGTTAAAAAAGGAAAATAAAAAATAAAACTCTCCAACATTAAAACAGGGTTGTAAAGTAAGTTAGAGCAAATTCACAACAAAACGAGCCCAGGAGCGGCAATTCATTTTTTACCAGCTAAAATGAGTAAACTAACAACCCTCTGTTGTACTAGGTTGAGTAGAGTTTAAGACATCAGTTACATGAAGAGGACCACAAATAAAGACCTGAGAGTCTTGCTAAATATGACAACTGTTGCCTGGGAAAACTGATCACCATCCAAAATTTCTGTTATTGCCATTTCACATCCTTTTGTTAGCAGGACAAATATTTTAATGTATAAGGGGAATTCACTATTTCAAGAAATAATACTTTTGAACAACAAATAATTGCTTTTGGTATTCATAGAATGAGTACTTTAAGTATGCAGTCGAACCAAGGTCAAGTAGAAGCTTGTAGACTACATCGGCAAGCATTAATGGTTATCTTTCTAAAGCTTTCTCAGTTAATCTATATTTATCTTCAACCACCAAAAGTTCAGTCTGATCCACACATCTGTTTTAATCAACTAACTGATCAATCAACATATACTCATCTCTTAAAAAGTGCTAGTCTATTTTTTCATGTTTAATAAGCCACCACCTACACACACACACACACACACACACCTCTCTCTATTTGATATCAGTCTCTGTTTTCATACAACTGAAACTAAAGATGAGTGCTTCTGGATGCTTTAGGCAAAATGAGGGAGTGGAGGTCCTTTTAAAAAAGTTGTTAAATGATTTTAACACTCTTGACAACATTAAAGAGGCAGACTTTGCATCAAAAAACTTACTCTATGACAGACTGAGTCAGAGGAAGAAATTTAAGTTTCCCTAAAATAACTAGATATAAGATACCCTTTTTTTGGAGACAGTCTCGCTGTCACCCAGGCTGGAGTGCAGTGGCGCAATCTTGGCTCACTGCAACATCTGCCTCCTGGGTTCAAGCAATTGTCATGCCTGAGCCTCCTGAGTAGCTGGGATTACAGGCATGTGCCACCATGCCCAGCTAATTTTTTTTTTTTTTTTTGTATTTTCAGTAGAGACAGAATTTCAGGAAGTTGTCTGGGCTGGTCTCGAACTCATGGACTCAAGTGGTCTGCCCATCATGGCCTCCCAAAGAGTTGGGATTACAGATGTGAGCCACCATGCCTGGCCTTCCCTTCTCATATTTTATTTTGGGCAAAATATCAGATTCACATACATAAATAGTCTCGCTCCTGTCGTGCAGGCTGGAGTACAGTGGCGCAATCTCGGCTCACTGCAACCTCTACCTCCCAGGTTCAAGCGATTCTTCTTCCTCAGCATCCGAGTAGCTGGGATTACAGGTGTGTGCTACCATGCCCGGCTAATTTTTGAACTTTTAGTAGAGACGGGGTTTCGCCACGTTGGCCAGACTGGTCTCAAACTCCTGATCTCAGGTGATCCATCCGCCTCGGCCTCCCAAAGTGCTAGGATTATAGGCATGAGCCAACATGCCTGGCCCCAATCTTTAAGATTCTTTAATATAACCAGAGAAATGATAACATTAGGAGTGACATGGGGTCACTATGGTATGAAAGAGCTCTCATTATGATTTTTAGCTCTCTTCTTCTACCTTTCTTCCTACTCCTTAAGCATCTGTAGACACTGAATGCGGAGCCTCACTGAGAGCAGTGTCAGTAAAAGACTTACTGACTCCTGCACCTTTAAGAGCAAAAAGGAAATACAGAAATCTGAGGACTTGCCAGTCAGGTAATTTGATGCTTCTTTATAAGTTACCTTAAGATTACTTAAAATTGTGGTGCCAATAGCAAGGAAACTTCTATACTGGCACAAAGAAATGTCTAGTTCAGCGAATAAATGTTAATTTTCATCGTTAGCCACAAGATGCTTTAACACTAGAGCAGTATGATCAGCATTAACTGCAAAACAACGTGAAGAAAACCAACCCATGGAAGCATTACTGACCAGGTGCCACATTTGAGTTGCCCTGAGATTTCAGCTGTGAAGATGGCAGCACACCCTGGGGTGTGTTGGTTCTGCTGTCATCCAAGCCCAGAGACAAGTCCTTCCTAGGGGCTTTAATTGTGGAAACATCATCGGTCATGCCCATCTGCTTCTGTCTTCTTCGCTTTTTACTCCATAACTCATGACAATCTTGCCATAAAGGAAGACTGAAAAAAAAAAAAGGAATTAAATTGTAAATGGCATTTCTTAACAAAAAATGCTAGTTACTATGTAGCACTAAAGTTATGCCCCCACCCCAAATAGTTCTTGAAGATTTCATAGAATGGCTCTGTAAAACTCCTCCAATAAAAATCATCCTTATTGTCCCACTTACTTCAGGGCTTGCTTTGTTTTTACAGGTAAACTATTTTTCTTTGGCTTTTGAATAATCAATAAATAATCATTTATCAAAATTATGAATGAAGAATATATATTCATAAAAATAGGCTACTATGCCAGGCATGCCTGTAATCCCAGCACTTTGGGAGGCCAACACAGGTGGATCATCTGAGGTCAGGAGTTTGAGACCAGCCTGGCCAACATGGCAAAACCCTGTCGCTACTAAAAATACAAAAATTAGCCAGGCATGGTGGCGGGCACCTGTAAATCCCAGCTACTCAGGAGTATGAGGCAGGAGAATTGCTTGAACCCAGAAGATGGAGGTTGCAGTGAGCCGAGATTGTGCCACTGCGCTCCAGCCTGAGCAACAAGACTGAAACTCTGTCTCAAAAAAAAAAAAAAGAAAAAAAAAAGCCTACTATCACTGTTGGTGCGACCTTTCAAAGTCAGTTCTTATGATAGTACATCATACACTGAATAAGACATGAAAAAGAAGGCAGAAAATATATTCCACTTCCAGCCAGGCACAGAGGCTCACGCCTATAATCCCAGCGCTTAGGGAGGCCAAAACAGGAGGATTGCTTGAGCCCAGGAGTTCAAGACCAGCCTGGGCAACATGGCAAAACCCTGTCTTTGCCAAAAATACAAAAATTAGTTGGGCATGGTGTTGTGCACCTGCAGTCCCAGCTACTTGGGAGGCTGAGGTGGGAGGATAGCTTGAGCCCGGGTGGTGGAGGTTGCAGTGAGCTGAGATCATGTAACTGCACTCCAGCCTAGGCGACAGAGCCAGGCCTTGTCACACAAAACAGAAAAATATGCCATTTGCAGAAACTAGATATGGGATAAAAAAAATAGTAAAGGGCCAGGCGCAGTGGCTCATGCCTGTAATCCCGACACTTTGGGAGGCCAAGGTGGGTGGATCACTTGAGCTTAGGAGTTCACCAGCCTGGGCAACATGGTGAAACCCTGTCTCTACAAAAAAATTAGCCAGGTGTGGTGGCACATGTCTGTAGTCCCAGCTACCTGGGATGCTGAGGTGGGAGGATGGCTTCAGTCTGGGAGGCAGAGGCTGCAGAGAGCCAAGATCATGCCACTGCACTCTGGCCTGGGTGACAGAGCCAGACCCCATCTCAAAAAAAAAGAAAGAAAAAGAAAAAAAAAAGGAAGGCTAGAACATAACATTTGTGAAGAACTTTACAGTAAAAGCTTACTTTTTACTAACTTGCTTGTCTAGCCAAATGCTCTAGAATTAAACTGATGCTACAGACAAGTTTTCAAAATAGGTAATCCAGGCATAGAGTGGCTCATCATTTATCAACAGAGTTGTGAATAACAACTACCAAAACTGCCCACAATTCCTAGTCAATTCTATCTTAAAATAACTTCATACAACTGATAACACGAGAGAATAACTTTTGCTTAAAGATACAAATATTTGATTTATAAATGCTTTCTTCTTAACCTAATAAAGTATTTAATGGAATGTTACTGTTGTATCTATTTTAAAGATGAGAAACTTGACGCTTAGAAAGGTGAATAAACTTGCCCAGAATATCCACAAATTCCCTTAAGCAACCCCACCTAGTGATATATACCTATAGTCCTCAACCTGGATCTGTTTACCTCTAGGAGGTAAATGAAGACTCTCCAAGGAGGTACACCTGGAATTTTTTTTTAAAGGAATTTCCATATCCATGTCTGCTTTCCTAAGATTGAGCTTTGAGGATGGCCTGCCTGTTTAAGCAAGTTCTTCTTTCACATCTACTCTTTCACAATTACTCATGTTATAAAATAAAGGCAGATGCAATAATATGGCTGAATCTTAGCAATATAATATTAGTTTAAAAAGTCATTCCCAAAATATTACAAACAGCCTGATGTGCTTTTATAAAATTAACAACTAAAATTTTAAAATATAACCTTTTATGAGTACATATAGATGGCAACAAAAAGTATATACAAAAGAAAACAGGGATGATGGTTACCTCAGGTGGAGGAAGGCAAGAGGATAGGTTGGTGGGGGTAGGGATAATATGAGTAAAGTATGTTATTTACAGGGTTCTAGCTTTTGTCTGGTAGGTTCATGGCTGCTTATTAACATTATTTAAAATAACTAAAGTAACTAAAATAAATAAAAGAGAGCCATGCATGGACCAATGATGAGTGACACAAGGATTATGATTAAACCAAGTCTATGCACCTGAGGTCCAAAAACAAAACAAAGGCATACCTCTCAGCCATCTTACTATGATGCATTGCCTCAGCGTGTAAAAACCTCCTGGAGTAACAAACAAAGGGACAATTTGAAATATCGATATTGGGAAGCTTTCAGGCATCATAAACCCGCCAAAGAATTTCCTTTCTAAGTGTGTGTATGATATGATGTGGGCCTCAGTCTCTGTTGGAATATCTTAAATTCAGATATACTGTAGTACTGCAGAGTGGGGTAACTGGAGTGATTCCACCTTTCCATCCTGAAGCTCAGGGAATGCATTGCTCTTGAAGGACAGCCCCATGAGAGCAAAGCAAAGTAATCCATCAAAAAGGGCTTTTGTTCCCTCCCACAATTTAAAAGTAAGAGATTCTTTTCTTTCCTTTTTTTTTAGATGGAGTCTTGCTCTCTTGCTCTGTCACTCAGGCTGGAGTGCAGTGGTGCTATCCCGACTCACTGCAACCTACGCCTCCAAGGTTCAAGCAATTCTGCTGCCTCAGGCTCCCTAGTAGCTGGAATTATAGGCACACGCCACCACGCCTGGCTAATTTTTGCATTTTTAGTAGAAATGGGGTTTCTCCATGTTGTCTAGGCTGGTCACGAACTCCTGACCTCAGGTGATCTGCCAGCCTTGGCCTCCCAAAGTGCTGGGATTACAGGCGTGAGCTATGGTATCTGGCCCCCTTAAAAGTAAGAGATTCTTTATGGATGATCTCCACACTCATCTCTAGGAAAAATAAACTTTACCCAACAAATAGCTAAAATAGTACAGGTTACTGATGCCAGTGCTTTCAGATGGATCAGGAATGTTTTCCAGATAACCAAACTTTTATTTGCTTTCTTGAAGGTTCAAATGCCAGCTCAGTCACTTACTTGATGTGTCTTAGGCAAAATAACTGGACTGGACCTCTGTGCCTATTCTCCTTGTCTTTAAAAATAGGATTAACAATACTATCTGCCTCATAGGGTAGAGGTACTACTGTATGTTAACATGTGCAAGCTCTTCAGCAGTGCCTCTTACAAGGTAGGCAATGTATTAATTCATGTTTGATATCACTGATCATTCAATTAGTAGTTTACAACTATTTCCATCAAATCATATCATGAAATATCCTAATGGCAATTGATATTTTGTCTTATAAATGGCTTAATGCTTTTTACTTGCTGTTAAAGAAAGCTTACAGGCTGGCTGCTAGTCTAATTCACTTTCTAGCTATATATACTTTATGTTTGACAGGGCATCTAATACAATTAGTAGACTTATTTCTGACTTTTTGTTTGTTTTTGAGACAGAGTTTCACTCTTGTCACCCAGGGTGGAGTGCAACGGCATGATCTCAGCTCATTGCAACCTCCACCTCCCAGGTTCAAGCAATTCTTGTACGTCAGCCTCTCAAGTAGCTGGGATTACAGGCATGTGCCACCATACCCAGCTAATTTTGTATTTTTAGTAGAGATGGGGTTTCACCATGTTGGCCAGGCTAGTTTCAAACTCCTAACCTCAGGTGATCATCCTGCCTTGGCCTCCCAAAGTGCTGGGATTACAGGTGTGAGCCACCACACCTGGCCTTTTTTTTTTGACACATGATCTCATTCTGTTGCCCAAGCTGGAGTGCAGTGACTCGATCTTGGCTCACTGCAACCTCCGCCTCAGCCCACAATTCTCATGCCTCAGTTTAGGTAACTGTGAACACAGGCATGTACCACCACACCTGGCTAATTTTTGTGGTTTTTTGTGTGTGTATGTGTTTTTTGAGACAGAGTCTCAGTCTGTCACCAGGCTAGAGTGCAGTGATGCAATCTCAGCTCACTACAACCTCCACCTCCTGGGTTCAAGCAATTCTCCTGCCTCAGCCTCCCGAGCAGCTGGGACTACAGGCCCACGGCACCACACCCAGCTAATTTTTTTGTATTTTTAGTAGAGATGGGGTTTCACCATGTTGGCCAGGATGGTCTCGATCTCTCGACCTTGTGATCTGCCCGCCTCGGCCTCCCATAGTGCTGGGATTACACGTGTGAGCCACTGTGCCTGGCCTAATTTTTGTATTTTTACTAGAGACGGGGTTTCACCATGTTGGCCAGGCTGGTCTTGAACTCCTGACCTCAGGTGATCCGTCTGCCTCGGCCTCCCAAAGTGCTGGAATTACAAGCATGAGCCACCTCCACCGTGTCCGGCCTATTTCCGATTTGTAAATACCCCACTCTCTCATTTGATTATTCCTAAAAAATTTATCGAAAGAGTTTGATACATCTTCCAACTTTCTAGAGGAATACCATGTATTTCTTCATAGTCCTTACCTCATAAATAATTTATGATTTTAACTACTCATTACATCATATTGCAAAATAGTGAGAGACATTATATTGTTTACAAAATGTTTTTATTTAAATATTGGATCAATCTGATAATCTTTACCTGACTGCTTTAGTAATATATCTAGCAGGATTCATTCCATAATGTGTTACAGATAGCTTACAGAATGTTCCTCGAATGTGTTTTAACATGTTTGTTTTTAATGAAAAAATGCAGTCAGGTGTGTTCTGATAAAATTAAGTCTGATTTGGGTAATTTGCTCTACAATAAGGACACAGTTTATGATTAGGTTATAAAGTCGGCATTTCCCATAAATTGAGTCGGATAAACCTATAGTTCCAAGGTTCTGGCAAAATACTTAAAAAACATAATTAAGAAACAATTTAAAAAATGGATTGGCAAAGTAGCACTGATAATACATGCTGATTTCCTAAACTTTTCTAGGTATACTGGATTAAATGTGCTATGAAAAGAAAAAGTAACAAGTACTAGAAAATGTCATTTCATAAGTATTGGTAAGACAACTGAAAAGGCAAATAATTACTAGATAAGAAATCCTTCTTTAGATCATGTGATCTCTAATCCATCATCTTTTTTTTTTTTTTTTTTTGTAAAAACAGGGTCTCCTTATGTTGCCCAGGTAGGTCTCAAACTCCTGGCTTCAAGCAATCCTCCTGCCTTGGCCTCCCAAAGTGCTGGGATTACAGGCATTAGTCACCATGCCCAGCCTCCAACTCTTTACTATCCGAAAAACTGAAGTTTAAAAGAATCTTAACAACAAGAAGGTCATTAGAATCTTTTTTTTTTTTTCTTTTTTTGAGACAGAGTCTCGTTCTTTTGCCCAAGCTAGAGCACAGTGGCGCGATCTCTGCTCACTGCAGCCTCGCTTCCCAAACTCAAGCAATTCTCATGCCTCAGCCTCTGGAGTAGCTGGGATTACAGGCGTGTGCCACCATGCCTGGCTGATTTTTTTTGTATTTTTAGTAGAGATGGGATTTCACCATGTTGTCCAGGCTGGTCTCAAACTCATGGGCTCAAGGGATCCACCAACCTTGGCCTCTCAAAGTGTTGGGATTACAGGCGTGAGCCACTGCACCCGGCCTAAAATCATTTTTTTTCCTTTTCTTTTTTTTTTGTTTTTTGAGACAGAGTCTTGCTCTGTCACCCAGGTTGGAGTGCAGTGGCAAGATCGTGACTCACTGCAATCTCCGCCTCCCAGGCTCAAGTAACTCTCCTGCCTCAGCCTTCTGAGTAGCTGGGATTACAGGCACATGCCACCATGCCCAGCTAATTTTTGTATTTTTAGTAGAGCCAGGGCTTCACCATGTTGGCCAGGTTGATCTCAAACTCCTGGCATCAAGTGATCCTCCCGCCTAGGCCTCCTGAAGTGCTGAGATTATAGGCATGAGCCATTGTGCCCGTCCTTTAAATCTTTCTCTTTTTTTTTGGAGATGGAGTCTCATTCTGTCGCTCAGATTGGAGTGCAGTGGCGCCATCGCAGCTCACTGCAACCTCTGCCTCCCAGGTTCAAGCAATTCTCTGCCTCAGCCTCCTGAGTAGCTGGGATTACAGGCACCTGTCACCACGCCCAGCTATTTTTTTGTATTTTTAGTAGAGACAGGGTTTCACTATGTTGGCCAGGCTGGTCTTGCACTCCTGACCTTGTGATCCACCCGCCTCGGCCTCCCAAAGTGCTGGGATTACAGGCGTGAGCCACCGTGCCCAGTCTAAAATCATTTTTGATGAAAGACTTTTCACACGTAATGTTGAAGGAGTTCCAAGAACTCAGTGATATAACTATGACAAAACTCCTTACATTCCCAAATGCTAATTTACAAGCGTGCTTATAAAAATAAAAAATAAAATTGGAATTCATATGGAAATATGTCTCATTCTAAAATAAGCAATATTAATCAACGGATACGCAAACTACTTGGGAAAAAAAATCTCAGCCCTATCTCTTTCGTTAGGTTGTACTTCCAACAAAATTTACTAATTTCTTCTTTATTTAAAAAGGAAATATTCAGGCCAGGCACGGTGGCTCACACCTGTAATCCCAGCACTTTGCAAGGCCAAGGCAGGCGGATCACCTGAGGTTGGGAGTTCAAGACCAGCCTGACCAACATGGAGAAACCCTGTCTCTACTAAAAATACAAAATTAGCTGGGCGTGGTAACACATGCCTCTAATCCCAGGTACTTGAGAGGCTGAGCCAACAAGAGCAAAACTCCGTCAATAAATAAATAAATAAATAAATAAGGAAATATTCACTAGTGATATTTGCAATAACAATTTAATCAAGAAGAAAGACAGCTTTTAGTCACAGGAAATGTGAAATTTAATTTCCATTTATATACATATATTTGTTTTTTAAAATATATAATACAGTAATCAATAAAATACTTTCGAGCATAAATATTTTACGTTAGAATAAAAGCCTATGGGAGAAACATAAGTTCAAGATGAAAATGGGACGATGTACAACTGCTCAACATTTTCTAAATGACTATCGGTGGTAGATATCAAAATGCTATGATAGTTGCTTTCCACTTGATACATTTACAAGAGTGATGTAACTGCTCTACTTAAAAATGTCAGCATTTACTATGTTACTAAGTAACATTACGTTCTGTTGAACATAATTATGACAGAGCAGGATCACCATCAACATTATATTCTTGCCCCCCAAACTCTTAATCTAATTCTGATAAAAAGAAAGCAATCAAATCCAAATTGTGAAATATTTTACCAAACAGCTAACTTGGAATCTTAAAAAATGTTAAATGTCATAAGATCTCTTCCCTAGGGAGTGATTACAGATGAAAAGGACATAACAAATAAATAGAATGCCGAACTTTGAAAAATTATTTATCCGGAAAAAAAGAAAGCTTATAAAGGAAATTATTGTGTCAACTGGGGAAATCTGAATATGGATTGACCATTAAATATTCTCATGTTAAATTTCATATGCTTTATATGGTATGCATGTAGAATAAAGTCCTAGTTCTGACAGATATGATTACCTATTTATAAGTGTCACCTCCACAACATGATATCCAACTAGTTCAGGAAAAAAGCAGAGAGTGATAAAGCAAATGTGTCCAACTATTAATAACTGTTGAATCTAGATAAAGGATATACATGAATACTCATTGTACTATTCTTCCTATTTTTCTGTAGAGTTGAAATTTTTCCGAATTAGAAGTTTAAAAAATGTTATTTGAAGGGATACTGAGCCCAAGTTTTAAGATTACTGATACACACTAAGGAAAAAGCAAACATGAAACAATTAATTCAACAGTGAAAAATTCAGGTCCCTCATGATGTCAAATAATAGATCCTTTTTGGCTCTCAAATCATCCCATAAAGGCCAACCATATACAGCTCAATAAAAGCTTAATGAAGCTGAATATGACAGCCTCATAGAAATATAACAAGCACTATCTAACTGATAAGTAGAAGAACCAGGATTTGAACTCCAGAGCCCATGTCTGTTCATTTAAAATATGCTATATTTATTACATGGAACCATTTTATTATTATAGATAACAGACTTGCTTTTAATGATGCTCTGTATCATTTTAAAAATTATTAAGAAAGGCTGGGCATGGTGGCTCACATCTGTAATCCTAGCACTTCAGGAGGCCAAAGTGGGAGGATCACCTGAGGTCAGGAGTTCGAAAACAGCCTGGCCAACACGGTGAAACGCCGTCTCTACTAAAAATACAAAAATTAGCCAGATGTGGTGGTGCATGCCTGTAATCCCAGCTACTTGGGAGGCTGAGGCAGGAGAATCACTTGAACCTGAGAGGCAAAGATTGCAGTGAGCTGAGATCGTGCCACTGCACCCCAGCCTGGGTGACAGA